GCCCCCAATTGCGACCTCCAATCCTGAGTGGGGTCACGCTCTCTGCTAAGGACTGTGTTCGCAGTCCAGGGGTACTCCTGGACTCGTCGCTTTACATGACAGATCAGGTGAATGCAACAGTCAGGAGTGCCTGTTATCAGCTTTGGCTAATATGCCAGCTGCGCCCTTTTCTGGAAGTAAGAGACCTAGAAACTATAGTACATGCGCTGGTAATGACTCATCTTCTGCAATGCACTCTACATGAGACTACCCTTATACCTAGTTCAGAAACTACAGTTGGTACAAAATATGGCAGCCAGATTGATTACCGGGAAATCTAGAAGGGATCATATTACACCGATTCTGAAATCCCTTCACTAGCTGCCTATTTGTTTCCAAGCACAGTATAAGGTGTTGGTGATTACCTTTAAAGCCCTACATGGCCTAGGTCCAACCTGTCTAAAGGATCGCCTCCTTCCATATAATCTGCTCCGCACCCTCAGATCCTCTGGGAGGAACCTACTGCAACTGAGGAATTCTAGATTAGCAGTAACCTCCCAGAGGTCCTTCTCTGTCACTGCTCCCAAATGATGGAATGCCTTGCCAGAGGAGATCCGTCAAATAACCAGCTTGGACAATTTAACAAAAGCCATCAAGATGGATCTCTTCCGGCAGACCTTCCCCAAATAGACTTTCTGTTTCAACCTGTACCTCTCCCTCTTTTTATATATCTATCGGTGTCAGAACACCAGTCATTTTAAATTTTTAGTATTGTATTTAATTTTTTAAAGGGGGGAGTAATTTGTGTTTATCATGGTATTAATGTTCAATCTAGGGTTTGTTTTATCCATGTTAACTATGTGAGCTGCCTTGATTGCCTTGGCAAAAGGCGGGATACAAAAATAAAGTTTATTTATTATTATTATTTTCCCATCCTTGACTTGCAAAGTGGCCTGATAGCACTGATTATCTGTTGAGTGTGTTTGCTTAGATCCTCAGGATCCTCCTGCCTTGGTCATGGCCATTTCTCTGTTTATTTCTTGTATGTGTGTGGCACTCCCAAACTATGGCTTGTGGAAGTGTTATCTGTCCACAGTGGGCTTTGTGACACAGTAAGAACTTAAATGCTGGCATAGCAAATCTTAGCACTGGGCTGTACATTCCTAATCAAGTGTGCAAGAGGAGGCCTGTCAGCTGTTGCCACTGGCAATAGTGCCACATTTGCTTGATATATTTTTAAACATAAATTCGTCTTGTACTTTTCTTTATTAACTTCATTTTTGGGCTTCCAAAATCTTTTTATTGATGTTGATGCTGTTGCTGTTTACCTCTTTTGCTAGTGCATCTTGTTTAGCAAGCATAGCATGACATAAAAGGGAATATTTATATTTTTAATGAAAGTTTTATTCTCTTTTTTCTATGGCATTGCTTCTAGGGCTCTCATGATCTGTCCATAGTGAATCTAATAAATAATGAAATATAATATATTAAGGAGTTTCAGTATCACTTAGAGCAATGATGTTCCAATCTCACATAGTTCAAAAGTTTTTGAGATGACTAATATTATTTTTGATCTCTGGTCCAAGTGCTATGATATGTCAGTGCTGTTGTCTTGTCTTGTCATTCAGTTACACCCTGCACTGTATTCAGCCCTGAGAGGATTGCACTTTGTAAAATGTCTCTCATGATTTGCTACGTGCTTCTCAATGACTTATTTTACACAAGGTGAATGTTCATAATTTGTTTTGCTGCAAAAAGTCTTGGTTAATTTTGTTGCTGGAGTAGACTAGCATGATTTTGTGTGTGAAATTATATACATACACACATACAAATTTAATTTATATACAAAAGGGATCTCAGTTACATAAAATAATGTTCCTGTGTAACAAAAGTGGAAGCCAGTGTTGTGTAGTGATTTGAATGTTAGACTAGAAACTAGGGTTTGAATCCCCATTCAACCGTGGAAACTCACTGGGTGACCTTAGACAAGTCACACACTTTCAGCCTCAGGATGGCAAAGCCAAACCTCCTTAGAACACTTCTCAGAATATTTCACCAAATGTATCTGAGGAAGTAGACTACAAAAGTTTATGCTGCCAATTTTTTTTCTTTCAGTTAGTCTCAAAGGTGCTACAAGAAATCTCTATATACTGACTCCTCAGAATAAATCAAGAAAAACCCGTAATAGGTTTTCCTTAGGGTTGCCATAAGTTGGAAATGACGTGAAGGTACACAACAATAAAACAAAAGCAAGAAAATGAAGATGCAAAAGGAGAAAAAAATAACCACTTTAGTCATATGTTTTTATAAAAGCTGACCAAATGTCCCAATATAAGTCCATTTGTAAATTTGATCTATACATCATTCTTTCAATGGTTACAAATATTGTTAGAAAATTTGTCTGTAAAATAAATTGCAAGGAAACTTTGATATGTGGCATTTAAAAATTTTGAATCTGCTAATAAACGTGGGAAATGGCTGGCTATAACTCATATAAGTGATAAAAAATAAGTAACTTTAACAGTGTTAAAATTCAGAATAATTTTAAAACTTTAATTCATATCTATTCAAAAAGATCCAGATATCCAAAAAAAAAGAGAGAGAGAGAGAGAGAGAGAGAGAGAGAGACAGAGACAGAGACAGAGAGACAGAGAAATATTTAGATCAACAAGATTTATATCATTTATCAGAAGTTCAAAAGGAACAATTGAATGAATTGATTACTTTAGAAAAAGTATATTTGGCAGGTGATGGTAAAGACAGTGAAAGAGTCAGGACTGGACGGCTGTACAGCTGTATACTATAAGAAGTTTAAATATGATTTGGTTCAACATTTAAGAAGAACAGTTAATTCCATTTTAATTAAAAAGGAAATTCCAGATTCTGGGAAGGAAGCAATGATAACTTTAATTTTGAAAAAACCATACAAAAGAGTATTGGAAAGTAGAGTGGGAAACAAAGAGTGGGATGTGATGAACTTATCAAGGGGGTTTGATAGTGTTGAAATGAGTGTAGTGTGCCAGGAGACCATTATCTCTCTTCAACCCATTGCTGATGGACATGGACATCTGCAGATGCATTCCAGTTCTGTAGCCTATGGATGTAGTCTGTGGATGTATTCCAATTCTGCTGCTTCTCTTTCCAGTCTTCCTTTGTAGTTCTTTTGTTCAAAGACCGCTGTTCTGAGGTCCGAGATAGAATGCCCAGGAAGATTGAAGTGTTCTGCAATTGGTTTTTGAGCATTCCCATTCCTAATGTCTGATTTATGTCCATTTGTCCTCTGGTGCAGGGACTGGCCTGTTTGCTCAGTGTAGTGTGCTGAAGGACATTGCTGACATAGTATGACATAAATCACAAGGGACGATGAGTACGAGAAAATCCCTCTTATACTGTGGCTGATATCATTGTATTGTAGGGATAATATTGTGGGGAGAGCCAGCATGGTGTAGTGCAGGGGTAGGCAACCTTTCCCCT